ATGGGGTGTCAGCCAAAAGAAATTAGTTATGGCACATGGCCTATGTAGCTTCATCTTCTTCAACTCAAATGCATGGGATCATTGGATGACACAAACAGGAGTGTGTGAGAGACAGGAACTGCACACAGATTGATATCCTGCCCCTATTGGCTTGGAAAATGCCTAGTCAACCTCAGAGAAAAGTCAGAAACCAAGAAAAGTACCATCAGGAGTCAACTTGGCCTTGTGTTGTATAGCCAGGAGAGAAAAGAATAAAGTTATACTATCTCATAACCCAACAGGGGCTAATGTTTCACTTAAAAAAAATCTAGAAACAAAATATTTCAAGTGCCTTCCTTTCCCTTCACCCCCATATTGCCCATCAGCTAATGTGAGCTTTTACTTAGACTCTGTAGCTCTCTGACAGTTTATGGGAAAAGCCTATTCTGTCATGTCATCCACACACTACTGGTGGTTACAGAGGGCTCAGGTGCTGAATCTCTCTGTCCACTAGTCCAAAGGCCAGAACAAAAGGGAAGGATTCTTGGGAGTGGTTAGATGGGGCATAGATTCTGCCTGTCATTTCTCAAAGGGTCAGTGAGTACACTTGGAAACAGTATCAAACATCAGTTCAAACTTTATTTGACAGGTGTATGCTTAAAATTTTACTTTAAATCAGAAAAAATGTAAAATGAGCATAGCTGATGGCCTAATGTGTCTAGAGATTATGGTTTTTAACGATCAAATGTGAAACATACAGATTAAAGCAGCTTTGATTTTTCTGCAATAAACATTGTGAGTATGTAGAAAACAAAAAAAAAATCCATCTTTCTTGTTTCCTTTTGGTGCTATGGAAAGAGAAGATGAACATATGACACTAACCCTCCATTAGCCAAGCTACACCCAGGCCTCACAAACACCACCATTACAAAGTATTCTCAAACAACAAATTCCATACACGGAACTTTATTGATGGTGAAATTTTTAGGAAGACTCATCCATCCATCCATCCATCCATCCATCCATCCATCCACAAAAGTTAACTTTTGTTCAAATAAATGGCCCTTTTTAAATATTATCTTCTTGGGAGCCACAGAGTAAGTTACAAAGCTGATGGCTGCTTCCTCAGATGTTTGGCAATGATCTGTTTGCTAACCTTGCCCATTGATCTCCATGGCTGGAAGGGAAAATGGGAGAAAGGGGTCTAGAGAACTGGGAATCTATTTACAGATATGGCTATTGAACATAAAGAAGAATCAGGACTTAAATTACAGAGTATATATTTGCTTAAATATCATATTGTTTTCTACCTGGCTAATGCTTACAGCAGAGCACTCAGCTTGGCTGATGGCAAAGCACCCGACAGAAGCATACTTTTGTCGCGCATGTCCTATGACACAACTGAAAAAACATAGCACTGAGAGGCTGCCTATGAAAACTGCACTTAAAAGCCATCCCACAGACCAGCACAGCTCTCTTTACATCCATCCAAATTCAGTCCTTCTGTCTTTAATTATCTTTAATGTTTATTTATTATGTCGTTATGTATGCAGACATGTGCAGGCCATGGCACACATGGGGAGGTCAGAGGCCAACTTGTGGGAGTCAGTTCTTTCCTACCACTCTGTGGGTTCCAGGGACAGAACTCAGGTCCTCAGATGTGGCAGCAAGTGCCCTTACCCTCTCAGGCCTGGGACTGTTTGCCTTTCAAAGAACTGAGTCCTCTTTGCAACAAACAAACAAAAACAAACACTCTTGGCTCCACACTGGCAGTCATTTGAGTTTTCGCTTTTCAACATTCAGCCCTCACTTTCTTCCAGTCTGATCCACCGCAGGTCCCCTAAATGGGACACAAATCCCTGCCTGGTAAAATGAGTCTAGGAACTGAATCCAATTTTCACATGGTAAAAACAAAAGCCAAATTCTTCTAGACTGTTGAAGTTAGGTGTAACACCAAAGTCCAACACACTGAGGATTTCCAAAGGCTCCAGGTGCCCTGGCATCTGTGTGACAAATTGGAGGAAAGATCCACGACAGGATGGAGGCTCCCCACCTGAGCCTTCAGCCTTCCAAATCCCTTTACACAAACAGAGGCTGCAGAGCCACACAATACCAACTACCCCAGCTCCAAGCCTTCTGCCATTCAGCGGCCAGCCCGCAGCACATTTGGCTCCTGTGACGACCAGACCAAGTGCCCATTGCCACCATAATAAACACCATCCCTACGCTTTCCCTGTGCTTACGGAGCAACCTAAGTGGCAGTGAGCGTCTGCTGTTCAGCAAGCAGACAAATACTGAAGGGTAAGAGAAGAGCTGCTCAAACTCAAGGTTACTGCTTCTTAAGCATTGAACCACTTTACGCCTAAACTAATTTGACAACTGACACAGAGAAAGGATTTTCTTCTTTGGTGATGTTTTTTAAACATCATTAAATCGGGCAACAAAGAGGGTATCACTCTTTTTACAGTGGTTTGTTCTCTCCTCCTCTGTTCACAGGCATCTACACATCAGAGAGCTATACCTTTCTGTTTTGCACGAAGAATCTAATTATGTAAACTCTTGCATATGGAACCAATTTAACTATTAAAACCAAGAGGCAGCAGGGAAGTATTTAATATGATTCCAGGCCAGCTTTTTTTTTCTCCCTTAAATCTGATATGGAAACATTTACGGCATTCCTTGCTTTTCCCACAAACTATTTTTCTAAATTTTGCACCAAAGCAAGACAAAAAGATGCTGGGACTGAAAGACTCTCATTGTCATCCTCCAGCACCCTAGGCTTGGGTTTTAAAGAAAACTGCACTGCTAGGGCTTATAGACATTCTTGTCCCTTTCTCCATGGCAATACTATCAATCTAGGAATCTATTATCTTACAGCAACCAGAGGAAGCTCCCAAGTGTGTGTGCGTGTGTGTGTGTGTGTGTGTGTGTGTGTGTGTTTGGGGGAGGATACTGACAACCTGGGGGAGGTTATCACAAGGCAAGCTTGGTTAGAGTTCACTACACTAAACCTATAAAAGCCAAAAGCCAACTTACAAAAAAAAAAAAAAAAAACCCAAACCATCAGCCTCAAATAACATTATCAAAAGACAGTTCCTTAATGTTTGAGAGGTTTACTGCTCAGTAGGAGGAAAAGGCAATTAAAAAGAAGTCTCTCTCAGTTTCTCACCTTTCTCCCAATCAACACAAATGGTAAACAGAATGGATAAGCACCATCACCAGCACTTCCCAAACAGCAAATTCTATTTCTTAAAATTTAAGGAGATGATGAGGGAACGAAATAGAACTGGCTTCGAGGCTTCTGCATTCAGTTTTCACTTAACAGGTTTAATAAAAAGAATTACCAAGATTTTCTTTTGGGGAGGGGAAACCGATTTCTTTTACATAATAAGGAAGCTCAACACCTTTCCTTCCCCAATACTTAACACGCTTAAGACCACAGGAAGTTCTTTCCTCTTGTGTTATACCAGTCACATATTATAAAAGTGATTCAACCTCACTTCCCGCAAGTGGTAGGGGAAAGGCACTAAATTTGCCGTGGGCGCATCCTACAGAAAAATTTCATCGCACGCAGCCAGTTCGTCTCAGCGTCCTGAATGCTTCGACCTGTTAATAATTAATAAAAGATGCCACCCAATCTCTAGTGAAAAACACGATGATCTGAAAGTAAAGCCGGCACAGATACGGTACCGGTGTCCTTCATCCTGAATTGCAACAACAAAATAATCTTAAACCTAGCAAACGTTTAACGAGCACCGGGTGGACGCGCTGGAGGGCAAAACGCCCCGCAAGACCTTCAGGGTGCTCACAATTGTTGTTCCCGTGAGAAGTGGTTACTGTGCCACAGACAGATGGAGCTTTAAATCCCCAAGCCGGGCGACAGGGCCTGCACACTGCTTGGGCAGATTATCCGCCGGGAGGACCCAGCAGGCGCACGATCGCGCAGAGTGCTGCGGGCTGAGTCTTTCCAGGGCCATCTGCAAAGGTTGAAACGCTTGTCTCGGTTTCTCCCTGCGGCACAAGCAACTTCCTGAGCACCTCCAAACTTTGTCTCCATCACAAACTTCCCTGACTTGCCCGGGCTTCTTCCCGCCTCACCTTGGGACACCTGAAGCCAGCCTTCCCTGCAAACCACTTTCCTCCTTACTCCCCCCAGTTCAATACAACAGATCAGGGAGGAGGCCCGGAGTGCGGAGGCTAACCTGTGCCCGTAGGCCCTCGCCGCGGTCTAACCTCAGCTTCTCCTCTCCAATCCCGTGGGCTGATCCTGTCTTCTCCCTACATCCATGCACAAACCTAAGTGTCTAGCCCGAGCGCGCAGCGGCCGGGGACCGCGGCTGAGGGCGTCTTAGCACCTTTGGGGCGCGGAGCTGATTCCGGCCCGCGCGCTTTCGGAGGTGGCGGCGTCCGAGAGACGCGGCGCTGAGTTACCACACTTCCCTAACCCGCTGGCCACTCAGGCGCTCCGGCGCTCCGAGCTGCAGAGGGTGGGGTGGCCGTACGGAGCTCGGACGCCAGGCCTGGAACGCTAACCAGTCCTGGGGATGACACCACTAGCGTTCGCATGCAGGGCTCGGCCTGGCCGCCGCTCCTCCCCCCACATAGGCCAGAGTTGTCCCGGGGTGCGGGCCCTGGGGACCCAGTGTGGACGTCCCCAGCTTCCTCCCAGTTGCCAGATCCTCCCTATAGCGTTCCAAGCACTGCGACTCTCAGGCAAACTTTCTTTGGGGAGCCCCGCTGGGTGTCAAGCGCACCCAGACGAGTGACAGCGGCTAAGAAGACGCCGGAGGGGCGATCGGGCCTTTGAGTGTAGCTCCACCGACCCGAGGCAGGCCGAACCCTCCTCCGGGCTCCAGAGGCTACACTGCGGTGGCTTCGGAGGAACCGTTGGGTTCCAGTGGCTGCCCCCAGGCTGTACGTGAGCTCGGGCAGGCGCGCCCACCCCTCCCCCTGCGCGCCCTCCTCCCCGCCCCCCGGAGCCGTCAGTCCACCCGAGTCCCCGCGGGCCACCCGGAGCTCACCTTTCATCGCTGCGATCACAAAATACATCCTTTACACCGCGGTGCGGAGAGCGCAGGGAGAGCCGACCGTCCGACCCCGGAGCCCCCTCTTGCCGCCGCCGCCCGAGCCACAGCAGCAGCTGCCGCAGCTGCCCGCCCGCCGAGAGCCATCCCGAGCCATAAGAGGCTCCATGTGACCGGCTGACATCACGGCCGCCGCTCTGTTTACACCGCGCCCCTCCGCTTCCTCCCGGGGCGGGAGCGAGAGGCGGGAGGCGGGTGCGCCTGGGCGCCGCGCTCCGCCCCCGCGGGCAGGTGACCGCGAGCGGCCCACCCGGACACAATGCTGCCCCCCTGCGCTCCCGGGGGCCCGCACCGAAGTCCCTCGCCACCTTCTCACTAACCGATCACCTGTGGCAGCCTGGAAGCTCTCTGCAATACCTCTGACTACTTTCTACACCCTCCCCCCACCCCCGCCACTTCAGCTAAGCGCCCCGATGGCACTCTCTGCTCAGTCCCGGAACCCTTCTCGGTGACAAAAGCACCCGATGGTTAGCTCCAAAAAAGCTTTCGGTCTGAGAAAGCTGCAGTCTCCCTGGTGTCCCACGGTATCCCAGCTCCCAGGCCCAGAAGTGACACCAGTTTTGGGAAGGCGCAAGCTCACCCTTAAGACTTTTAGGACTCACCCAGCTCACAGCATCCAAGGTCGTGGTTCCGGGCTGCCCACTCCCGTAGCATCCTGCATTTAAGACCGCCTGTATGTGGAAGACTAGAGGACCAAGTCTGCCTGCTAAATGAACTCCAGGTGGCGGACACTTTGAGCCACTAGTCCCCAGGCTATACTATCTAGAACTCTGTATAGAAAAACCCATCTACAAGTGGAAAGGGCACTAGTTTTCTAACCTCAAAGATAAGACAGGGCATTTTAAACAGAAGAAACAACAAACTACACCGGTAGCCGTACCATTCACCTTACAACCAAGATTCAATTCCCTCCAATGTTTGAAACTTTCTACTGCATTTACGTAGTTTTATTTTTGTCCCCAGATGAATCTCTTCATGCTGAATTTCAAGACTACTTACCAGGCGTCTGCTTTACTTAAAATGTTGGCAAGCTTGCCTACAGTATTGCGCATAATAGGAAAAAAATCTACTAAGTCAAGCTTGCTTACCTAGTGCTGTTCTGAGACAGCCCCCACTCTCAGATGATCAGACAGGAAGGATTCTAGTATTTCGCTTTCCATATAACCAAGCTAGCCTTGACCCTGTATTGTGGCCATAATTTAGAACACATGCAAACATCTAGCCCTATAACAGAAATCCAGATCTGTCCCTTCTCCTGCCTCCCAACCCCATTTCAAGGAAAAAAAAATGTTTTCCAAACATTTACACAGTGCTGGGACTGGAATAGTCAGAAAACTTCGTTGTCTTTTAATTAAGCTATGGCCTTACAAAATGTTTGGTTTCAGACACATTCATCCCCAAGTAGGTTTTTTTTTCCTTTAGAATTTTTTGAAATACAACCACAAAAATAAGAAGAGACAGGATAAGAATCTGAAGCCAAGACCTACCCATGTTAACTCAGCTGTCCAGCCATAGTGAAGTGGACAAGGGTTACAGAGGAAACGCCATACCCACTGTAATGTTTACAATTATGAAATTAAATCACACCATGTTCCCATGATGCAACTCTATCTCCCAATGAGGCAACGCCCCATTCTTCAAATTTGGTTCTGGGTTTCCCTTGTGCTAATAACGTAAAAAGAAGAGTGCTACCAAACTAGCCTACCAGTGGGTTCTGGGTGTATTTTTTCTTTCCTTTGTATTGTTAAAGAAGGAAAATACAGTCACAGAGCACATACTCATGTGTTCTGAGCAGTGCAAGCTCACCTTGACATACAACTGAGGAGTCACTTTAAAATAGTAGCTTGCTGTAGAAAAAATGCTTTGAAAATAACCAAATCCACGAGCTCCTGCCTGCCCACCAGACATCTGACTCCAAGGTAAATAGTCTCACATCTGAAGGAATCTGTTATTTCCAGGCCATTTCAAATGAAATCAGTAAGGAGGAAGGGCATGCGCAGTGACACACTCCCACAATTACAGATAGCATGATCTTTCCTCCTATCGAGAAGTCCTCAATGGAAATAGAATCTCATCATACTTATTTGACATATTTACACATTTATTCAGCTAAGACGCTTCCGGGATAATGCAGTCCTGACCTTGCCCTTTGGAAATGTCTTGCTCTCACGTCCTACAACTACTGAGCAGCAGAAGCCGGGTGTCAAGTCACAACCTTCCTGGGTGGCTAGATGCTATTTGTAATACATGCTTCTATTACATTACCATCAACTTTTAACCAGGGGAGACAGCCGTGCTTCATAGGAACAGCTTTTATGAAACTTTTGAGAATAAAAATGAGAGGGTTTATTTTTAAGTAGGTGATAAAATAAATTGCCCATGGAATTATAAGTCTTTGACCAAACAAACCAGCCAGGAGTGAAAGACCACATATCTTCCTTCAAGAAAATCAGATTGGAACCACAAATACCTTGCTGTATAAAATTTCACACACTAAATTAAAACATCCTCATATAGAGATACAGTGTAATATTGAAACATTATAAGTATGTAGGAAAAATTGGATTTTATTGAATAAATGCAGTGGTGCACCTAACATGGGGGAAATAGTTTTAAGAAATATAGCCTTTGCAGTCTTTTAAACAATCAATCTGAAGGGAAAAAAAGAATATTGTTTACAAGAAGGAAATTCCATAGGATAGGAATTCTTTCCTGCAAATAGGAGAATGTTACACACGAACTCTCAAACATTGTTATGTTGGCTAATCTCAGCAAAAGGGTCAAAATGAGTATACAGATGGCCACAGATTCATGTGGGATTCCATTGTCTCGATCACACCGAATCTGACACTTATAGAAAGTAGAAACACAATGTAGAGAGCAGATTTCCTCAGAACACCCCTGAGCAGAGCCTGGTGCACTTCTGCAAGGGTCCAGACTCGAGTATGATCAGGAAGCTGGTGTCAATCTCTCTTCCAGAGATCAAGAAAATGACTTGGGCTTCATTCCACAGGGCCAGTTCATGAGTCTAAAGACACATGGCTACCCAAGATGCTGAGATAGCAAAGTGCAAGGACTCAGCCCTAAACAAATCATTCCCATTACTGCCTTTAAGTCGCAAGAAACATTGAGGAGGGAGAGTGGAAAGGATGTAAGTCATGGAAAAGTGCAGTGAAGTCCTGTTCTTTTGACATCAGTCAACATTAACATGAACTCGTAAAGACAGGGCTTTTCAACAGTCAGCAATGGGTGTGAGAACTCAAAAGAGCCTATCCTTTATTCTGTCGGAGGGGGAACCATTGTCTTCAGTTGTATATCCACACTAGTGAACCTGCCAAACTCCAATGGTACTTCTGACCTTAAGGCCATATGGATGGCCTTGGCCAAACCCAAGGGTCACAAATGAGAGAAAAAACAGGAATGTGGGAGATGCGTAGGGAAAGGAAGGGAAGGTGGCTAGATGGGGGAAAGAAGGAGATGAGAGGGGTCAGGGTAAGAGTGGTCAGAATGGGTCACATACGCCTATGAAATCAAGGATCAATTTTAATTAAAAAAAGGTTCTTAGATTTTTGAAATTTGGATTTGTTCCACACAGAAGCCTGATAATATGATATATCACACCCAAACATGCATTTGAGACTTTGGCGGGGGCGAGGGGTTAGTAGCATTCCAGTGGGTTGTCCTAACTCTTCAAGATCCCAGAACAAGATGATTTCAGCCTTTGGGGATGCATGTATCCATGTGAATAGGAACATTCTGGTTCTCTCTTTCTCTGCCCTCTCTCTCCTACAGCTTGATAATTCAATTAATTTCTTTTTAACTGAACAGGAAAGAGGTAATCTAAAGGTTAACACAGCCCTATGACCTTGTTTCAGCTCAATCTTTGCCTTCTGAAAGACCAACAGAGTCAGCAAGACAGAGGGAAGCTACAGAGAAGGCATCTATACCCTTACATAGAGCATAGTCTTGTTTATTAGTGTTAAGAGGAGGGGGTAGACATTTTAATATGGCTTGTCTGTCTTGCTCACTATTTTAAGAACAAAGTAGAGGGGACACACATACACACACACACACACTTACTTCTGCTAACTGACTACCAATTATTGAGCATCTATTTTATGCCTAGAAATGCATTCCAGAACCAAAAGAAAACAAGGTGATTGCTTTGGTCTCAAGAAGTTTACCAATGAGATGATCTTTGCTCTAAAACCCTACAAAACCCTTGTATGAGGCTGAAATTATCTGCAGGAGTCCAGTATCTGGATGGCCTTGACCACTATCAGTGGATGGGTGGTTAATGAGCCACTCCTATGCCTTTTAGTGGAATAGATCATTGAGGTAGGTGGTTTGGCTGGAGCCAGGCCATGCTTTATGGACTTTGGGATTTCTGGAGCCAAATATTTCATATGGCTATTAGGAAATTCAGAGAGTTGGCCTGTGTTTTGTAACCATTACAATGAGGAAAAGGTTGAAGTTCACTGGCAGGCACAGATGACCAGCCTCCACAGACTACGTAGGCAGCAGGTGCTTCACCACTCACAGACATGCTACAGTGGCAAGCAAAGAAAAGCAAGTTGGAGACAAGAAGGCCTACATACCATTAGGTTCCTTAGGTGTCTTCACTACATCTCCAAGGCTGGCAGAATAGGTCACACGTGAACTCTTTGTCTTTCTCTCATATAAAGTAATGAATTTTGTTGTGAAGTTTGCACACACAGGCCATTGTACTTTATTCTCGATTGTCCATCCTTCCACTGCTCTGCTTTGGTACCCCTGCCCACCTCTGGCTATTTCCCTTCTTTCCACTAGGTAGCCTTCATTTAGTCTCTCTCTGTCTCTCTATTTCTGTCTCTCTCTTATAGAGGGACTACAAATAAACAAAGAACTAAGAATTCAAGGACCTCGTGTTGCACGCATCCCTAGCCCCTTTCTCTGACACTTCTGAAAAGTCGTTTCACCTCCCAGGAACAATGTCTGCCCCAGGGACTGAAGGAGTAACACAGACATCAAAGGGCTTTATTACCACAGC